CCCAGACTCAAGTAACCCCGGACAAGTCACTTAACTTCTCTGTGCTTTAGTTTCCTCCTTGGGGAATGGGAATGCTAATAATAGTTCCTTGATTCACTGAATTGTGGTGGGAATGAAATGAGTTCATACACACAGGACACCTGAAATACTACCTCATCCGTGGCGAAGAGCCCTGAGGGTCTGGCTTTCCCAGGGTCTGGCATTCCCAGCAGGTATCATCTCCACTGAATGCTTCTTTCCCTAAAAACACCCCAAAAGCCTTTTCTTAGCCTGCTTGGTTTAAACCGCACTCCACATGGCAGTTTCCCCAAGCTCAGTACCATTGTCTCCATCTTACTAGGGTGTCAGAGGTATGGAGAAAACATCCTCTGAAAATTTCGGGGCACCAGGTGAGAAGAGGGATGTCCTGAGATCGGCACCCGCCAGGAATCTGGGCCCCCACCCTCAAAGCCTACTCGCATGACAGAGCATCCTTCCCCACCCAAGACCATGGGCCTTCACCAGAAACAGGAAAAAATTAAATGAAGCCAAATGGTCCATAATTAGAATGGTAATAAAGGCAGGGAGGAGGCGTAAGGCAGTGAACTCTATTAATAGTGCTAATAAATGTTCCAGGATAATACCGCTGTGTTCTGAACCTGCCCGTGGGAGGTGTTGCTTAACACTCATTTGCATATTAATTTGGAAGGAAAATGCCGGGCTCTTTCTGCTGGGATAAATCAATTCCAGTGGAAGTTCTCAGATGGGAAGCTGTTAATTCTTCTTCCCTTTTCCTCCCAGCAGGAAGACACCCATTTGCTGCCAGGAAAGTATTTTTAAGAGCCACCATGGTGTGAAAAAAAACTGGGCCAGAAAACTCCAGATAGAGTGCAGACCCCGCCTAAGGCCAGAGCCACGATGGGCTCCTAAGGCCCAGCTCAGTGGGGCTCAGGAGCCAGGGTGAGACTAACCGGTTCTGGCTCCTCTGAAACAACACCGTTTGAGCAAGGATGCCAAGTAGATTCACCTCGAATTCCAGTGTTTATTGACTGGTGCTGGATGTTATCGGAACATGGAGTTCAGAATTTGAAATCCAGGATTTGAGATCCGAGACCAGACTCAGAAAACAGTGCTGTGATCAGTTAGTAACGTCTGCCATGGGAGAGGGTACCTAGGAGAAGTGATGTCTGTCCTGCTGTTTTAAGAAGAGTCCTGCTTCCTATTCTGGATCAGAGCTTTACAACAGGCCTTTCGAGGCATAGTGAGGCAGGCAGGGTTGAGAGTGGGAAGTGGGAATAAAGCTGCAGAGCAGCCAAGCAGTGGAGAGGCAGTCGAAACATGGAGTAACAGAGGACACGACTGACCAACATTTTTCTGAGCAGCTACTGTATTGGTTGTCCTTGTTCAGTCATTCAGTCATGTCCAACTCTTTGTGACCCCATGGACTGCAGCACGCCAGGCTTCCCTGTCCTTCACCATCTTCGAGGGTTTGCTCAAACTCAATTCCATCAAGCTGGTGATGCCATCCAACCATCTTGTCCTCTGTCGTCCCCCTGTCCTCCTGCCTTCAATCTTTCCCAGCATCAGGGTCTTTTGCAAACAAGTCGACTCTTCCCATCAGGTGGCCAAATTACTGAAACTTCAGCTTCAGTGTCAGTCCTTCCAATGGATATTCAGGGTTGATTTTCTTTAGGATTGATTGGTTTGATCTCCTTGCTATCCAAGGGACTCTCAAGAGTCTTCTCCAGCACCACAGTTCGAAAGCATCAATTCTTCAGCACTCAGTCTTCTTTATGATCCAGCTCTCACGTCGTACATGACTACCAGAAAAGCCACAGCTTTGACTATATGGACCTTTGTTGGCAAAGTGATGTCTCTGCTTTTTAATATGCTGTCTAGGTATTGGACAAGCTGTTAAATCTGGGGAATACAGAAATGATTAAGATAATGCTTTCTTAGACAAATGGCATACGCTATCACTTATATGTGAAATCTAAAATACAACACAAATGAACTTATCTACAAAACAGAAACAGACTCACAGATACAGAGAACAGACTTGCAGTTGCCAAAGGGAAGGAAGGATGGAGTGGGAGTTTGGGGTTAGCTGATTCAAACTAATATACTTAGAAGGGCAAAACAACAAGGTCTTACTGTATAGCACAGGGAATCATATTCAATGTTCCATGATGAACCATAGTGGAAAAGAATATGAAAAAAATGTGTGTGTGTGTATATATATGTACAACTAAGTCACTTTGCTGTAAGGCAGAAATTAACACCACATTTTAAATCTATACTTCAATAAAATTAATTTTTTTGAAGATAATGTTTTTTTTCAAAAATGAAATCTAATGAAGGAGACATTCATGTAAATAAGACTCATGACATAATGAAATATCATTCCTCTGCTTCTTCTAATGAGTGGGTGTCTCTTTCCACACCCTCCGCAAGTCCTATTTCTCCACTTCTCCTCCTGTTTATTAAGGTTCCCTCCTTGGGCTATTTAGTTCTCCTCCTCACTGGACATACTCACAGAGGACTCTCTTTTGCTCCCCAAACTTGAACTTCCTCCTCTGCACCAATGACCCCCAAAAATCTGTCTCAAGGCAGCTTTTCTCCCCAACAACATTCCCAGGTGCACACTAGGTGTTTCCACTCTTACGATCCCATTTTACAGGTAGGGAGACCTCAACAGGGAAGGATTCACATGTTAGCATGGAGTAGAGTGAGGATTAGACCTGCTTTCTCCTTAGTGCACCTTCTATTGCAAGGAGAGAGAACCCAGGGGTCAAGGGCAAGGTGTCCAGGACCACATGACTTGTGGCCCAATCCCAGTTGTTTCCAACTGGCTGGATGGCTACCTATATCCTGAGCCTCAACGCCCTTGGTAACATGGAGAAAGTCAGAGCGCCTGCCCCACAGGGCTGCCATGAAGATAACATGAGTAAAGATGTAAAGACAGAATGACGCCTGCCACACAGCCCTTTAGATTCTTTTTTTAAATTGACTTTATTTTTTAAATTAATTATTTATTTGGTGGGGTCAGGTCTTATTTCGGCTTGTGGGATTTTTTGCTGTGGTGCATGGACTCTCTATTTGCAGAGGGCAAGCTTAGTTGCTCCACAGCCTGTGGGATCTTAGTTCCCCAACCAGGGATTGAACCCAGCTCCCCTGTATTGCAAGGTAGATTCTTAACCTCTGGACCACCAGGGAAGTCCCCCCTCGCCCCCACTTAGATTCTTACATGCTACTTTCTGTGTTTCCCCTGGCACAGAACCGCCCCTCCTCAAGGCCAGGGACTGTATTTTGTTCGTCACTGCATCCTTAACATCTAGAATAGTTCCTTCCACTGATCTGTGGTCAACTTGTAGAATATTTTTTGAACACAAACTCTGCCAGGCACAAAACGTGGCAGAGGCAAAAGGATTGGGAAGGCAGTAGAAGGAAAGGAATTTTTCTACTGGGAAGAAATATGAAGAGATTGTCAAAGTGTGAGGTGCAGATATCCATGACCCAAAAGCCTAGGCTTTGGAGTCAGATAAAACTGGGCCTGAGCCCTCAAACCATTGTGTGCTGGCCTTCACCTGCGGGAGCCTGCTTCCTCACCTGAGAAGTGGAGGGCTCTCATCCTGCGTGGAGGGGTCTCGGCGGGGCACAGAAGAGGACACCTGCCTAGTATCTGCAGGTCCTAGTAAATTCAGTCTCCCCCATCAGGGTCCCGGCAGAGCCCGCCCCCACCTCATGCATCTCCAGACCTTCCTGATGGAGTGACGGCTGCCTGTCCCAGCAGAGGCCCCGTGCTCCTCTGCCAGACCTCACGCCGCCGCTCTGTGAAAGCAGACTCGCTTTCTCTGCTCCACTCTTAGGAGGAGGGAGGGGGTTAAGCTCCTGTTTTTGTTTTTACAATGCAAAATTTGTCAACTTGGCGCAGTTGACAGACTGCCTCTGTGTTCCTTTAATTGCCTTCCCTGCGTGAGAGCATCTGTACGTGTGTGCTCCAGTGTTCCCTGGGAAAGGCTCGCTTGCTGGCTTGGACAGAAAAGAAGCTGATTTCAGAAAATGGACCTGTCCCTTGGCACACCTGCCCATGACCCCAACCCCCAAAAGCAGTGTGGGGTGAGCTAAAGAGATCTCCCTTTGAGTCAGGAAACTTGGACTCTGGTCCACACGGCACCTTCGATTACAGTCAATAGCAACAGAATCAATAACAGTGCAACAGGAGCTAAAATGGGCTTTTTCTAGCTCAATTTCAATTTCCAGCCCCAAGACATTCTACATTTTAAAGTGAGTGTTCGACCACCCCTCCAGGAAGTAGCTGAACATCAGCTTTGCAATACTTGGTTGACCACCCCCGGCTGACATGTTCAATGATGGAGCAGCCTTGGGAAAGCCTAGTTATTGGTTACTTTTTAAAAATTTATTTTATTGAAGTATAGTTGATTTACAACGTTGTGCTAATTTCTGTTGTACAGCAGTGATTCAGCTATATGGATAGCATGCGTCCAATCGCTCAGTCATGTCCAACTCTTTGTGACCCCCATGAACTGTAGCCCACCAGGCTCCTCTGTCCATGGAATTTTCCAGGCAAGAATACTGAAGTGGTTGCCACTTCCTACTCCAGGGGATCTTCCTGACCCAGGGATAGAACTGGATTTCCTGTGGCTCCTGCATTTGCAGGCACATTCTTTACTAGCACCATCTGGGAAGCTCCATATGAATATTAAATAACTTTTTCTGGAGTGCTTGGGGAGCTGTGAACTGACAAATACCCAAGATGATGAAATGGAGGTGAGATACTTCCTTCTCCCCTCCAGCCAGAGAGATGGGCTTCAGGGAGGCCAGTGGAGACCATCCCCTGGATTTAAGGGGTTTGCACACATACCTTCTGTGTGGTTGTCTAAGGAGTCTAGGGGTGAGGGGCTACAGTTATGGACCTGGACAGTGAGGCAGGAATGGAAGATATACTTCATCAGTATCTCACTACACAGGTGTGGGCAAGGCTGGGCCAGGTCTGAACCATGGGGAAAGAGCCAGCCCAGAACCCTCCCAAGGTGACCCCAAGAACAGGTGAGACCACCAGATTCCCAGGTGCAGAGGGAGGAAATCCAGGTGGGCAGGAGGTCATCTTGTGGCTCTGAGGGGAGCCAAGACAAGCTAAAGAGGGAAAAATTCAAGACAGAGAGAACCTGAGCACCGATCAGCTCATGGACTGTAAAGGAACCAGCCTTGGCCCCTCCAACCTCAAGACTTCTCATTGGTGAGGTTCCACATTTTCTTCATTGCTTATATCATCTGAGTTTTCTCTCTTGAATCCAAGCCAATTTGAGTAATTTGTCCTAAAGTTCTCAATAGCAAGTGGAAGCTTTAAAACCTGGTGACAGATATGTACGCCCCGTGCTTGTCACAAGTCACTGTGCTGAGACATCGTGCTGCGGGAGATGTGCTGCGTGAGCCCAAGTCACAGACGCGTCAGCTCAAGTCACACCTGAGACACAGGGGAGCCTGAAGACACAGATTGTAAGAAGCTTTAAGATGGCAAAAGCAGACGCTCCAAGCACATATCAGGATACAGGAAATTAACAGATACACGCTACCGCATATACAATGGATAAACAACAAGGACCTACTCTGTAGCACAGGGAGCTATATTCAATATCTTTCAATAATCTCTAATGGAAAAGAACTTGAAAAAGAAGAGAAGATATACACATGCATAACTGTGTCACTTTACTGTGTAACTGAGACGAATACAACATTGTAAATCAACTGTACTTCAATTTTTTTAAGTTTTGTTTTTAAAAACAGGTATAGAAAGAACTCAGTAAAAGCATATTCTGAGAAACTGTCATGGATCAGAGGGGGATAGGGAGACACAACAGCTAAAAGCAGTATGGTAGCTAGGATTGGATACTGGAACAGAAAGAGGACATTAGTGGAAAACTGATAAACTCCAAATAAAGTCTGGAATTTGGTTAAAAGTAACATACAATGTGGGTTTCTTAGCTTTGACAAAGCAAGATATTAACAATGGGAGAAAATGGAGGAAGTGTTCATGGGGTCTCTCTATACTATCTTTGCAACTTTTCTGTAAACCTAAAATGATTCTCAAATTAAACGTTTATTTTTTTAACTTATTGAATGAGTGATAAATAAAAACTCTGAGTTCAGGAATTAATGGAACACCTGTCTTCCAAATGGCTGTCCCCACATCTCTTCCAGTCCCTTCAGTTGCCCTGTGAGGAGCGTATTACGCACTACTTGGCACATCACAGGTTCTCAGTAAATATGCATTGACTGGATCAATTAATCCTCTTTGCATATTAGGAATCTGAAGCCAAAAGAGGCAAAGTCTGTACACCCAACTTTATTTGACTCCAAGGCTTGTGATTCCTGGACTTCACTCCCTTCCCAGCATCAGGGTTAGAGCCATGTCAGAGCTTGGAATTTTCCCCTCCCTACTCTAGGCTCCAGCTGCTCAACTTCATGGTTTATGCCTAGAAAACCTCAAAGCAAGAAACTACAGCCTCTCCATGGCCCGGAAATCAGTACTATAAATCTCAATTCTAAAATTTAATAATATTTGCTTTCACATTTATGGCATCATTATTGTAGAGCAGTCTGCTCAGGCTTAAGGTGGCTGTAGGAAATCATTTCATTTGACAGATGCAGCTACCCACCACACTGTGACCTGGCCTCCCCTAGTGGAGGGACAGCTGACCAAGATGATTCCAAATGACATGGAGGGGGGCATCCCAATTAATAATGTTCAGGCAGCTGGGAATGAGGGGACTTTTTCTGCAGATCATAAATACTTCCCGAGGATTTCCATCCCTCTAGTGTTTAAGGATCCACCTGCTTTGGTGGCAAGAATTCTAACAAAAGAACTCAAAAAAAAAAAAAAAACAGGAGTGATATGGTGAGAGTAATTGGCTAATCCCCTTCCCTCCACCCACTCCTTCCCTGGACATGTTAATCCCATCCATCCTGCAGAGTCCAAGTCAGATTTCATTCCCAAAACACACACACACATGCACGCATGTACACTAACGCATGGACATCCCAGTGGCAATGAATCTCTCATTCCTCCAAAAGTCTTGTATTTCTATCACAGAACCAGTCAGAGTCAGCCTGGATTAGGGAACTCATTTATTCATTGGTTTTCTTATTCACGAAACAGATATTTATTGAGCATGTATTATGTGCTATGCTCTATAGATATAATACTGACCAAAACAGACATGAACCCTACAGAGCCAATCATCTAGTTCCTCATGTGTGAGTCTGTCCACACCCTCACTGAATGGTGGGTTTCTGGAAGAAGGAATTTGTGTCTTCATCTCTGATCCCCAGGACTTAGCACAGCACCTGGCACATAGTACAGGCATAACACATGCTTGCTAAGCTACTGAATCAATGAATCAATCAACACTAAAACCCAGACTTCTCTAAAACTTCACTAAAACCCAGTTTCTCATACTTAAAACTCCCAAGTGTCCTCTGCCCCCCATTGTCTGCAACAGGTCCAGCAAACTGCAGCCCGTGGGCCAAACCCAACCCATCCCCTGTTTTTGTAAATAAAGTTTTATTGAAACACAGCCACACTCATTTGTTTACGTGTCATCAATGGCTGCTTCCACACTACAATGCAACACTGAGTAGCTGAGGAAAAAGCAATATGACCCACAAAGCCAAAAAATAGTCCTGTCTGGTCCTTTGCCAAAATAAGAGTTTTGACAACCCTGGTCTATGAGATAAAGCTCAAACTTCTTACAGGAGCCTATGGCCCTGTCCAACACACATCCGTCCAGCACACATCTCTCCACTCAGAATGTTCTGTGTTCTGGCTTCACCAGAACACATAGTCCCCTCACTGTACAGTCACTAAGTCATGTCTGACACTTTGTGACCTCATGAATTGCAGACCAGCAGTCTCCCGCATCCTCCACTATCTCCCAGAGTTTGCTCAAATTCTTGTCCACTGAATTGGTGATGCTATTTAACCATCTCATCCTCTGTTACCCACTTCTCACCCTGCCCTCAATCTTTCCCAGCATGAGAGTCTTCCAGTGATGCGACTCCTCACATTAGGTGGCCAAAGTATTGAAGCTTCAGCTTCAGCACCAGTCCCCTCCTAGATCCAGCCTACTAAGGCCTCAGGGGCTCATCTGAGCCATTGCTCTTGGCTTTGCTCAAAATTTCTCATCTCCAAACCTTTCCACCCACAGAACTACAGACTTCACAGATAATTTGCTCAAGCATCTCCTGTAGGTTGTCTGCCTCATCATCCTCCCCTCCTCTATCCCCAGACCAGATTCGGGCTTCTCCTAGCCTCCACCACAGCCACATTTTTCTCTCTTTTGGCTGTGATCATCCCAGACTAGAATTCTCTTTGTCCTAGTTTTTCTCCCCAACTGGTTCATATTTCCTACCATCAAGGACTTGTCCTGGGTGTGATCATTTTGATAAGATCTTATTTATCGGTGTCTTCCAGCAGCTACCCCAAGATATGGCACAGAGTAAGGTTTCAGTGAATGAACTGAGTCAACCTGAATGCCTCTCTGTCACCTGTCTCATTCCTGTGCCCCCTCCACTTTCCGCCCCAGGGCCCAGCCTCCCACTGACTCAAAGAGAACAGAAGCACAGAGGTCAAGGAGAAAATCCCAGTTATATAAATTGGAGATAACCTAGGGTCTGGTAGCTTAGTTGGTAAAGAATCCGCCTGCAATGCAGGAGACCCCGGTTCAATTCCCGTATTTGGAAGATCCACTGGAGAAGGGATAGGCTACTCACTCCAGTATTCTTGGGCTTCCCTTGTGGCTCAGCTGGTAAAGAATCTGCCTGCAATGTGGGATAGTTGGGTCTGATCCCTGGGTTGGGAAGATCCCCTGGAGAAGGGAAAGGCTACCCACTCCAGTATTCTGGCCTGGAGAATTCCATGGACTGCATAGTCCATGTGGTCGCAAAGAGTCCGACATGACTGAGTGACTTTCACTTTTCACTTTAGGGTCTGGTACCTGTGGACAAGAGTGGAGAACAATGGGAGGGGGGCGCCGCCTGTTGTTACAACACAGCAGAGGGCAGGAATGGGCAAGAGCAGATACCCAGGAGTGACCCTGAAATAGGACTCCAATTGGCTGCCTCACTGGGGAGACCAGCTGGGGGCACCATCAAAGGCAGCACAGAGCCAGAGGCGCCACCAGGATCTGGTTAAAGATGGGGAGATGTGAGTGGACTAAGCCCCCTGATGGACACTGAGGTTGCCTAAGTACCTTCTGCCTCCAAATTGGCTTTACCTGGAGAGTGAGGCTGTGGGTGTGGCAGCAGGAGCAGCGTGTGAGGTACTGCAAAGGGAAAGGGCAAATGGATAGCACAGACCTGTAATTCATCGCGTGGCATCAGCTCGGTCTGTGGTCCCCTGTTACTGTGATATTACACTATATCCCTCCGCCTTCCCACCCCCGTGCCCCTGCTCTCCCCACGCCACAATCTTGATGTCGGTGACTTCAAAAAGCAATAACAGCAACTTCCCTAGTGGTCCAGTGGCTAAGACTATGCACTCCCAATGCAGTGGGCCTGGGTTCGATCTCTGGTCACGGAACTCGATCTCACATGCTGCAAGGAAGATAGAAGATCCTGCGTGCCATAACTAAGACTTGGTGTAGGGAAATAAATAAATAGGCAATAGCAAGACTGTGCTTAGTCGCTTCAGTTATGTCCAACTCTTTGCAAGGGCTGTAGTCCGCCAGTCTCCTCTGTCCATGGAATTTCCCACTCAAGAATACTGGAGTGAGTTGCCATGCCCTCTTCCAGAGGATCTTCCTGACCCAATAGAACCATCGTCTCCTGTCTCCTGCATTGGAGGTGGCTTCTTTACTGCTGAACCACCAGGGAAGCCCAGCCCCAAGCAAACGTGGAAGGGATAACTTCAGAGGGTTTTGAAAAATGGAGACTGACTGCCTGATAGATGAAGCAGGAGTCTTCCGAGACAGGCAAGACAGCAATCGATCTCTGTCTCAAATCCCCAAGAACTAAGAGCCCAGAAAGCATCGACCTGATCAATCATCTGG